TCAATAGCCCCTCGAGCCTTCTCTAAGCCAGAAATGCAAGGTATTGCGTGTTCTCTTCCTTTGTAAACTGCTCTTGGCATTCCTCTTGATATGGTCTCTCGTCAAAGACCGCAACATCAGTGATGCTATGGATAAAATGTTCTCGAATCAATCGTGTTGATAATCGAGTTGGCGCCCAACTCAGGCCAGATGTGATTGGATTGACGACTACACCTTCTGAAAATTTTACTGGGTCTGAAGTTTCATCTCAGTTGAAAATTGTAATGGAAAGAACAGAATTCAAAGACTACGGCTGGTCCAACGCTTATTTAGTGCATGGAGAAGGAGGTTTAAATTAATTTTGAATGGATAAAACTGTGCCTCTACCTCCTTTTATTTTGTTTTACCACACTGCTGCTCGAACATATCTACCAAGATTGTATGCTTCTAGTGAAAGGGTGGGAGAGACAAAGCTTATGCACTTCATTGGCACCTTTAAACCGACGCTACAGGAAATTTTGCCCCCTCCCCCTCTACCAACATAAAATGTTAAAATACAATCGAAGTATTTCTGAACAGGCATTTTCACTTAAAAATTCCTTCTAATTGAAGGTGTGGGATGCTCCTATTGTCATCCAGTCTTGTAGCTTAGGGATTTATTCTAACTCTACATTCCTCTTTTCAATGCTGAGTTTTTTAAAATCCTTTCATTATGGTGGGGATCTGGTTATCCATCACTGGCCGTTCGTGTAATAAAGCGCACCATTGAAATGCAATAGATGGCGGGGATAGCCAATTTGGACTTCCACCAGCGTTGAAGGCGTGCGGATGTTTCCGAAACTGAGGCACCTTGCCATTTAAGTTGCTGCTAACAGGGAAACTTAAGCATCCAAATGAGCCGCATTTATGCATACAAGATGTTTTCGTAGTAAAACTCGTGTCCCATCCTGGGTATTAGTCTTGGAGGCTTACCTATTCAGAAAATTTCTGCATTAAAATTCTTCCCACATTCCTTAAAATTTTGCCACTTGCATAAGCTGGTTTATTTGGAGGCATTGTAGACATTGAATTAGTCGTGGAGTCATCAATTGAAACCAAAATTGGTAGACTTGGATGTGGCAAAATAGGCTTCTGAAAGAGAGTGACTAAGAACTTTCTGTCCAAATAAAGGTTAGTGTGGAGATGAGAAAAGGTATGCAGTCAAGCATTGTTGATAAAAAAAACGTGAGACCTAGCATTTGTAAATATAATGATTCACTTGAAGACAAACGAAGTTGTCATGCATGCGGTTGTTCTTGGTGCCACTAGCGGGATTCGGAGTCCAGCTTTCACCAAAGTCGTGATATAAATGATCAACACGTCAAAGTGGAAATTGTAGACGGCCAGCAGTTAACTTACATGTCTTCACCACTTCCACGTGGCCACGATTGTGAATGAGTGCACGACTGTTTCATAATTTTTTTAAGGGTGAATAAGACTCTTCATCAACTCTTCTATTCTCTCCATCACTTTTCATCTGTAGTTGGATGAGTTTATAGAAGCCGAAATTGATCACTACAACGCGCAAGGCAGCCCACTTGTATGTCTGCTATGCGATTGTCGTCGGTTTGACTCACCAGAAGCACTGATGGTGCACACTGTGGGCCAGCACTGTGCAGGAGCACATCCCCAAGTGTGCCCCCTCTGTGAAGCCAGACTGACGCCCTTAGATGTGGAGAGCTTCAATGTGGATCCTTGTGTCCAACTACTCGTCCTTGATCGACATCTAAGAGAGGCACATCTACCACATTTGGAGATAGCTGGTCGACTTTTTCAGTCATTTGATGAAACGGTTATCGCAAAAAATATGCTGAAGACCCCACCCATAGTGGACGCAGTCACGAGGTCGTATAGGTGCGTTTGAATTTCGAAATTTGAGTCTAACCACAAGTTTCTTGCGTTTTTACACTCCATCATTAGTTATCAGTTAGAGAGATCAGACTTGCCCCTCATGCAAGAAGCAAAAGTACCTTTCGATCAGTAGATGTTTTGTGGGCTTTTGCACGACTAGGTGTTGCTTTAAAGCTGGTGAAAGTGCAGGAAATGGACCTGGCTTTCCTTTTGAGCACTGGCGTCGTCGTCACAAACGAAGTTTTGTTGAAGATCGGGAGGATACTACCATATTTGCCACCAGTCACCCTCGAGGACATGCCCAGCGTCCGCAGCGCACCAGTGCACGTCGCAGGTGCCTCTTAAACCCACAGAAGCTCTATGATATACTGCGAAACGTCTGGCTGCGAAAGCAAGACCGTGCACACAACACCCTCTTCTCTCTCCTCTTCCACACTTTTCCTCCAAACGCTATGTGGTGTGGCTTCACCGCCTCCAGTATGGCTCAGCTCATAGCTCATGTGGTTGGTCATCATGGTGGAAACTACCTGTTGCAGCCAAAATTGCGAGAGAACGTCCGACAAGCGTTTTCGTATCGCAAGGAGCGGAGAATGCCCTCATTAGAACAGTGGAGCTCTTCTCTTATTAGTAGTGGAAAAAAGCGAAGCGGCAGCGTCGGAACGCTAAACGACGCAGTAAGGTTGTTGAAGGGTGGAAACAGCCTGCTGGAGAAACGACTATTAATAAAACCGGTGGTGAGGACTCTGAATCGTCCAACATTGATTGGAGAAGATTCGGGAAACAAACTCTTCGACGCGAATGCTGACGTGAACCAAGAAAAGGTAGATTTCAAAGCCTAGCTGTAGTGAAGCGAAATGAATGCAAAATTTTAACAAATTTCACGATAAACTTCCCCCCTAAATTAGTCTCTAAAACGCAGCTGGTGAATCGTTAACAGTTAGCTTAACCGAGCTAGAATTCCAGGTGCCACACCCTTAAAGCCATCTCATCCCTTTGGAGTGCTTATTATGCCTGTGAGATCAAGATATAAGTGCAATAGTAGTTGTGAAACTCGTTTTTCACCAAAAATCGTTTGGTCTAGTTCAAACCATTAATGCTACATCTCACTTAGGATGGCATTTTCTCTCGTGGAAGTCGACATTGCGGGTTGTTGCATCGTTAGAAAGTCTGCCAAAATGAAATCATAAAGCTGAACCCTCCTGAATCGGAATTCACTTTTCTCACTCTGAATGTTGGATGGACCAGAATCTCATTACTTTGTAAGCAAATGACACACCACTAACATGTGAGCTTCCATGGTTTAGATCGTCGTGCTTTCAGTCACTTCATCAGCCCTTAATGAGCCTACTCGCCATGTCCAAAACTCTCCTTCGTTGAAGTGATCTGTGAGCACATCAGCTACCGTAAAAAATGAATGACTATAAACACCAGTACCTTGGCCCTCATCGAGGTTCCAGGCTTGTGGAGATGGGCAACCACCTCATAACCACAGCCACAACTAGGTAGTTGTTGCAAATGCTTGCCCACCTAAATTCACAAAGCACAGCTATCTCCAATGGGATTTTGAGCCTTTTGCTGATTCAAAACGAGTTATTTTATAACCCACAAACTCGTATGTTGTAGAAATTTAGGACTCGCTCCATAATCGTTTGCAGCTCTCGCTTAGGGCTCTGTTCTGCTAAGCAACTCACATGTAGACATCCAACTGACAACGAGCATTTGTATCCATTGCTGGTGAGTGGCTTGTTGACACTGTTGGAAATGATTTTTCTGAGTGACATAGGTTGGGGAGTTTGTTTTGTGTCTACAAGTCATTGTGGCTGTTAACCCGTGCTGACTGTTTTCACCAAAAATACTCCGGCACCGTTTTGTTAGAAGTATTTGCAGATGTGTGTGAACTGTGTACTGAAGGGTGACAGGTAGACTTTTGCTTTGCTAATTCAGTGCTGCTTTATGCCTCTGAAGGATCCATGCATCGTTTTTATTTATTTTCTTCCATCTAAGGGGTTACAAGTGACCAATTGACTTGTAAATTTGCGTGTTGTGGTGTCCTAAGACTTCCCTGAAAAAGGCAAAAATTCGACACTACAACAGGAAGTGTTTTACAGTCCTGGAGAAGGTCTGAAGGACAGTGACATGGTCTGGATTTCTAAGCGCTCCTCTTTTAACCTGCTACTCCAGTGGTCGCACTAGTCACTATTTCACTTTCCCATAGCACAGCCAAGGCTGTAGAAATAATAGGTAAAAGTTAACAGCTTTGGTCATCCAGTTTACGCACAGCCATTTTTATATACCACAGCAACAGTCCAGTCAGGAGATTCAAGAAAACTGGCCTCAAATCAGTTAAGAGCAAACACTGGACCATCATAGCATTCAATGGAAATGTAAATTTGAGGCCTTAAGTGCCTCTGAAGCCAAAAAATAATGCCAAACAAAGCAACACCATTGTCACATGTCTTAAGTCCCGGGAAAAAAATTTGGAGCAAAGAAAAACTAGGGCCACTAATTTAGAGGTGAGAAAGTTCTTGTGCTTTTGTTTCAGTCGGCA